CCCCTGCTCGTCAGCGGGTGACCCACTGCACGGAGGCGGATACAGGTCGCCACCTGGCTACGTTTACACGTCGGCCAGGGTCGAGCCTGTACACTCTGACCACTGCTTCTCCTCCAGGTGCTGAGTCTGGTAGGGTCACTTCGTCTGGTCAGGTGTTTGCTGCAGCGTCCAGGTCTGGTCCTGAGTCTGCCCCCTGCTCGTGCCGTCGTCTGTCTCACGAGACCCTCCTCTGGCACCACCGCCTTGGCCACCCCTCTCTGCTTCGGCTCAGAGGCATGGCCTCGCGAGTCCTTGTGTCTGGTCTTCCCCGGTCTCTCCCTCCCCTTCCTCCGGGCCCTGGCCCCACCTGTGTCCCCTGTGTCGAGGGGCGCCAGCGTGCTGCCCCTCACTCCTCCCAGTTTCCTCCGACAGAGGCCCCGTTGCAGACGCTTCACATGGATGTGTGGGGCCCAGCCCGCGTCCGTGGACAGGGTCAGGAGCGCTACTTCCTGCTGGTGGTTGACGACTACTCGCGTTACACCACAGTCTTCCCCTTGCGCAGCAAGGGTGAGGTCACTCAGGTGTTGATCGTCTGGATCCGCGCAGCTCGTCTCCAGCTTCGGAGGAGCTTTGGCTCTGACTTCCCTGTTTTGCGTCTGCACTCGGACAGAGGCGGAGAGTTCTCCTCTGGCCTCCTGAGTGCCTACTGTCGTGCGCGAGGCATCCGTCAGACCTTCACGCTTCCGGACTCACCGCAGCAGAATGGGATTGCTGAGCGCCGCATTGGCATGGTCATGGACGTCGCTCGTACGTCCATGATGCATGCGGCTGCTCCCCATTTTCTGTGGCCGTTTGCGGTCAGGTACGCTGCGCACCAGATCAACCTCCACCCCAGGGTCTCTCGACCGGAGACCTCCCCAGCCCTGCTGTGGACGGGGAAGGTTGGCGATGCGTCGGCGTTCCGGGTCTGGGGATCTCGGGCGTTTGTTCGCGACCTGTCTGCGGACAAGCTGTCCCCTCGTGCTTCTCCCTGCGTCTTCCTGGGGTTCCCCCCCGACGCCCCTGGGTGGCAGTTTTACCACCCCACCTCTCGACGTGTTCTGTCCTCCCAGGACGTCACGTTCGACGAGTCGGTACCCTACTACCGCCTCTTCCCCTACCGCACTCCGTCCCTCCCCCCACCCCCGCTCTTCTAGGTACCAGGTCCCCCCCCGGTAGTCCCCCTCCCCCCTCAGGGTCCTGCCCCTTCAGGTGTGTCCCAGGTAGACGCGGTCGAGCCTGTCGAGGTCACTGGTGACTCTGGTGCTGCTGCGGGAGCTGAGCCTGGGGGTGCGGAGTCTGGGGGTGCTGAGACTGGAGGTGCCGAGTCTGGGGGTGCTGAGCCTGGGGGTGCTGAGCCTGGGGGTGCTGTGCCTGGGGGTGCTGTGCCTGGGGGTGCTGAGCCTGGGGGTGCTGAGCCTGGGGGTGCTGAGCCTGGGGGTGCCGTGCCTGGGGGTGCTGTGTCTAGGGGTGCTGAGCCCGGAGGTGCTGTGCTTGGGGGTGCTTCGTCTCGCCGGGAGCCACTCTCCCCACAGGAGCTGCGTGAGTGGTTTGCAGGGCGCTGGAGGCGTGCTGCTGGTGCTGGTGGTTCTTCGGCTGCAGAGGGTACTGCTGCTGCGCGCCCCGCCGGCGCTCGTACTGTGGGTGCTGGAGCTGCTGAGTCTGAGAGTTCTCCTGGAGCTGGTCCTGCTGAGGGTGTTGGCGCTGAGCCTGCCGTTGGCGGCCCGACTGACAGTGCTCCTGGTGCTGCGGCTGGAGGTTCTGGAGCTTCTGGTGGTGCTGCTGGAGGTGCTGCTGGAGTGGGTGCTCCTGCCGGGGCTACTGGTGCTGTTCCTGCTGTTTCTAGCGTCGCCGCGCGGCCCCGACCGTACTTCGTTCCGCTCCTGCAGCAGGTTCTTGGTCTTACACCTCCTCCTCCTCCCTTAGAGGGTCCGCAGCCTGTCCGGTCACAGCCACAGCTACAGCCTGCCTCCCCTTTGCCTGCTCCTTCTCCCTACGCTGGTCCGACTGGAGGTCTTACTGAGCGTCGTGAGCCTGCGTCTCGTCCTGCGTCGCCTGTTCGTACTGAGCGCGCTAGTGGTCGCGGGTCGCGTCAACGTCCTCCTCCTGTCCCTGGCACGCACCGGATGTCACTGCGTCCGTCCACTGCTCCTCTGCGTGCCCCTTTGCCTTCTCCTCCTACTTCCTCTCTTCCTGCTCTTGCCGACCCGGAGTCGGACGCTCTTCGTGCTGCCAGTCCTACTGTCACGCGTCTCCTGGCTACTGCTGTCACTGACCCCTCCTTCGAGTCGTCTGCTGCGTCTGCCCTTGTCACTGAGCTTGTCGACTTTGCTGCACGCTGTCGTCTAGACTACGCTGCTCGTCTTGTCACTGAGTCTGAGTCTGCCTGTCCTCCGTCCGTCGGGGGTGAGTGTGCCCTTGGCACGGACGTCCTTGAGGACAGGCAGGAGGAGTTCCAGTGTCTGGCCGCCGCTTCACCTCGTCTCGCGTCTGTACTGCTAGCCCCTGAGGGAGACCCGGATGCACCAGACATCCCGACTCCGCGCTCTTACGCGGAGGCGATAGAGGGTCCCTACTCCTCTTAGTGGCAGGCAGCTATGGGTGCAGAGATGGCTTCCTGGAAGTCCACAGGCACCTACGTTGACGCTGTTCCCCCTCCTGGGGCGAACATCGTCAGTGGCATGTGGATTTTCAGGGTGAAGCGGCCGCCGGGTTCTCCGCCTGTCTTCAAGGCGCGTTACGTGGCTCGTGGCTTCAGTCAGCGGCAGGGGGTTGACTACTTTCAGACCTTCTCCCCCACCCCGAAGATGACCACTCTTCGGGTTCTGCTACACGTTGCTGCTCACCGTGACTACGAGCTGCACTCTCTCGACTTCAGCACAGCTTTCTTGCAGGGCAGCCTGCACGAGGAGATCTGGCTGCGTCGCCCACCTGGCTTCACTGGGTCTTTCCCTCCTGGTACCCAGTGGAGTCTCCGGCGTCCAGTCTACGGTCTCCGCCAGGCTCCACGTGAGTGGCACGACACACTGAGGACTACGCTCGCGGCACTTGGGTTTGCTCCTTCCACTGCCGACCCGTCGCTGTTTCTGCGCACCGACACCTCTCTGCCGCCGTTCTACATCCTCGTGTACGTCGACGACCTGGTCTTTGCCACAGCTGACACTGCTGGACTCGCCTACGTGAAGTCCGAGCTGCAGAAGAGACACACGTGCACTGACCTGGGTGAACTGCGCAGCTACCTTGGCTTGCAGATCACCCGGGACAGAGCACGCCGCACCATTACCCTGACTCAGTCACACATGGTGCAGCAGGTCCTTCAGCGCTTCGGCTTCACGTACTCCTCGCCTCAGGCCACTCCTCTGCCTACTCGCCACTCGCTCTCAGCTCTGCCTTCGGATGAGTCCGTAGAGTCGAGTGGCCCGTTTGCAGAGCTTGTTGGCTGCCTCATGTACCTGATGACCTGCACACGACCTGACCTCGCATACCCTCTTAGCATTCTCGCACGCTTTGTTGCTCCTGGGAGACACCGACCAGAGCACATGGCTGCAGCGAAGAGGGTGTTGCGCTACTTGTGCAGTACGTCGGGCATGGGGCTAGTGCTTGGAGGGCGCAGTCCAGTGGTCCTCACTGGGCACGCAGACGCTTCTTGGGCTGACGACCAGGCTACGCAGCGGTCGTCACAGGGTTACACCTTCAGCCTTGGTTCTGGCTCTGTCTCGTGGCGGGCTACCCGCTCGTCTTCTGTTCACAGCTCCAGTTGTGAGGCTGAGATCTACGCTGGGGCTATGGTTGCACAGGAGTTACGCTGGCTCACCTACCTGCTGACCGACCTTGGAGAGCAGCCTCGTTCTCCTCCAGTCCTGTACGTAGACAACAAGGCCATGCTGGCCTTGTGTCGAGAGCAGCGACTGGAGCACAAAACGAAGCACATTGCTCTTCGCTACTTTCTTGCTCGTGAGCTACAGCAGCGTGGACAGCTGCGACTTGCGTACGTGGCCTCTGAGGCCAACACTGCTGATGTCTTCACCAAGGCACTTGCGCCTTGTGATCATCAGCGTTGCTGCACGCAGTTGGGTCTTGTGCCTGTCTTGCCTCACTTGCTCTCCTCTTGACCTTGCTTGTACTTTCGCATATATATACTCTTGCTCTTGTATATCTCTATATATGATCTTGCATGTGAACTGGCCTTGTGGCCTTTGAACTTGTGCTCGGAATGCGTGGTGACTTTGTGATCCACCCTGAGCTTTGCTTTGCTTTGCTTGACTGGTCTTGTGACCCCTTGTTCTCCCCCACTTTGCCTATGGGGGTGTGTCAGAACTTATAGCTTACTTGTTTCTGTAGGCTATAGTGGGGTATCCCATAGGGGGTACAACCCAATTAGGGTTTCCTATTTGTACTCCCTTCGTTCATAGTCATCTCATTCTCGTTCTTTGTTTTCACAGTTACATGCTCTCGTTAAGGTCGCAAACTGGTAACTCACGCGATTCGCCCCTAATCGCGCTCGAAATTTGGCACGATCACAAGCAGTCGTTTGCTAGCGTTTATGCCCACCACCTTGCCATATATGTAGGGCGGTGTAAACCGTGGTGGACCCCACTCCTCGTCTACGATTCTAAACTACCCCACGCGTAAACGACCGTTTACTACCCCACAAACCCGATCAACCGGAAATTACTCTCCGACACTGTAGCTGAACAAATGCGCGTATATGCTTGTTTGTACCCCCCTCCGTTTTTGAGTCACAAAGGGCAATACCCTTAGTGGTTTATTGCCCTCGGAAGAAATCATCGTCAGCACAACACAAACGAGGCCTATGAGAGCGTTTACCACCCAATATGGCCTCGACATTTTTCTGATGCCCTCTGTTAGTACTGATCCTGCTGATTCCCTTTCCCCGTGACGCTTCTTAGAGCCACTTCTCATCTACTTACCATTCCTTAGCCCAACATCACTAGTTCCGTAGCCCTTAGATTAGAATCATCATGATGGAGCCTCGCACGAACATCAACAGTCTCTCGGACGACCTTCTCTTTGCGATCCTGAGGCAGTCGTTCGAGCAATCCACTTCAAGTGAGTCATACATCGATAGCATGTGGACCTGGAGTCATATATGGTCACCTTTAAATGCCAATACCGAGCAAGCAGTTCTGACAATCAAGACGCACATTCCAACCCCTCCTCCAGCGGCTGACCTGGCCCATGATCTCCGCTTAGCGTCCATCTGTCGTCGTTGGCGTCAACTAGCAAAGCTTTGAGTCACGACGCTCTCCGTTAAAGAAGACGCCGAGGTGTCCCTTAAAGATCTCTCAGCCACCGTCGCGTGTTTTGCTAACCTTAACCATCTGCATCTCAGCGACAACAACGTTCCGTCGCTCGCCTTCCTTGCTCACCTCGCTTCGTCATGCCCAAAACTGACAAATCTACATGTGGGAAGAAGTTTTGCTCGGCCATGGAGCAAGGGTGATGTCTTACCCGATAAGCATTATCGTAGGACGGAGGAGCATACAGTAACCACCGATGGCTTGGATCGATTCATCCTAAAGCTCCCTAAACTTCAGCAGCTTTCCCTCTTCTTCGTCCACGAAGCAACAGACCTACCAAACTCTCTTTTCTAGCTAAAACAGCTGCACACCCTTGTTGTGAATAGTGCTGCAACGCTGGGGAATCCCTTTTTCACAAACCTAACTGCTCTTACCACCCTCTGTGTCGCATTTCCTTGGAATATTCTGCACCTGTCCAGCCTCCTTCAACTCCCACTTCTCCACAATCTCTACACCTTTGCCCCTTACGAAAGCCATCAGCCGTCAGGTGCAAGCGCAACCCTGCCATGTAGCTTAAAATCATTCAATTTCTTTTATTCTTCACCTGATTTCCGCACCATCTTTTCATCAGCATCGCCGTTTACCAAGCTAGAGGAGCTGCTCATCACTGAGTGCAGTGAACTGGAGACCCTTCCTGACGACGTCAGAGACTTGGTGCCATGTCTTCGCAAGCTGACCATGCAAGATTGCTATTCTTTCTCTCATCTGCCTGAAACTTTTACTTCTCTGAGCCGGTTGGAAGAGCTCATCGTCTCTATCTCTAACGAATTTGCATTACCTGATAGCTTTGGTCACATGCCTGCCCTCAAGCTGCTGGTGCTGGATGCAATGGAAATTCTTGATCTCCCTCCTTCCTTTAGCCATCTCACATCTCTTGAGGCTCTCTTCTTTAATAAGTGCTATGAACTTTCTGTGCCGGCAGGTTCCTTCTCTCTCATGGCCCTCAAGGCGCTCTGCTTTTCGGACTCGCAGCATCTTGCATTGCCGGAGGACGTTGGGGTCCTTGCAACTCTGAAAGCTCTCAGGTTGCATGACTGCCAGCGCATTCCCCTCCCGACTTCATTCACCCAGTTGTCTTCCCTCACGAGCCTTGAGCTGAATGCATGTGATGGAGTCCAGCTTCCTGACGCCTTGGGAGAGTTGATCGGCATACAGGAGTTGAAGATCATCAAGATTCCAACCAGCACGCTTCCTAGCTCGCTCACACGTCTTACAAGACTTCAGACCTTGGAGGTCAGACTTTGCAAGTTACTCTCGGAAGTACCCTCGAGGCTGGATACTCTCGTGAGGCTGAAGAGGTTGGAGCTGACAGAGTGTCGGCAGCTGAATGGACCCCCTACCGCCCTGCCCCCTTCTCTTGAGACCCTCAACTTGGGGCCTTTTAGGAAAGGCTCTTTCCATGTGGTGGACATTTCTATGCCATCGCTGCTGAGGGTGCTGAAGCTGAACTGCGTCAACGTGGAATGCGGGCCTGCAGTGAGCTGGAGGCTGTCGTGTGAGGAGCAGCTCGAGCAGCTGGGCTTATATTCTGAAGGAGAAGGTCGAGAGCTCCCGCTTCCTTCGACTTTCCTCCCTCACTTACGCAACTTGATGAGTGAGCAGCTGGAGATGCTGAAGCGGCTGGAGAAACTCGAGCAGCAGAAGCACATGGCGCAACTGGAGCAGCTGGAGCAGCTGGAAATGCACTTAGAAGGTAGCAATCCGAAGCTACCAATCCCATTGACATTTCTCCCTCGCCTACGCAGCTTGCTGATAAAGGCACCTGCAGTCCGCAGCCTCCCAGGAAACATGGGAACGGTGTTGCCGCAGCTGCGTCAGGTGGAGCTGCTTTCTTGGTCACCGGAGGAGCTGCGAGAAAGCATTTGGGGGCTCAGCTCGCTGACGTCACTCAAGCTTCACGCACCTCAGCTGGTGGCGCTACCTTGAGGCATGAGCCGCTTGTCTCGGCTGTGCAAACTGGAGCTGATTCGCTGCACCGCCTTGCAGCACCTCCCGGACTTTCTCACCCAGCTGCACCGGCTGACACTGCGCAACACCTCCATCCCCTCCCTTCTTGCGAATTTCGTTCAGCTGATTGTAGAGGGGCTTGAAGATGGTTGACTCGCCTGGCTGCCTGCAGACGCTCTTAATGGGACTTAATTCAGCGCTTGTAATGTCTTAGAGCTGGCTGATGCTTGATATGGAAGGTGTCTTTGAAGCTGCGCTTGCACCAGTGGGCCTGGTGCTAGGGAGGTCAAGGGAATTGAGTGGACTGGACAGGCACAACATTTGTAGTATATTCTCTGCTGTTTCTTGACTTGTACCATTGTTTGTTGCTTGGATAGTTAGGACTGTGTCTTACACTTTCGATGTATATCAAGGGTGCATAGCCAAAGCAAGTTTTGTGGGAAATAGAGAAGCTATTCATGATACTGTCAAGTTTTGGTTGGCGGCTAGCATTGGAGACCAACCCAGTGTCTGTCTTCAGTCAGCATGTTCACAAATAGACATGCAGAAGGAGCTATAAATGCTTCCAGGAGGACAACTGACAGTTGTGGCACATCACGGTCATGATCATGTACTCCCCAAATCAATTTTGTGTCGAAAATTCCACATCATTCTTGTGTTGTCACGAACTCCTACCAGGTTGGCTTGGCTGCTGGATGAAAGGCTATTTGGAGATGCTTCATGGCGACCAGCAGGAGACTTGAGGCTCCAATCGAGTTGCCAACTCCATCCAAGCTGAAATCAGGTGTGACGCACCATCATGTATGATCAATGGTGTGTGTTGTGGTGTGTGTGCATGCATAGGCATGCATGAATTGTACGAAACATGCATGGAACACGGTCGACCATGCTGTGCTGGCAGTCGACCGACCTGAATGCTAGCTCTGATGTAGTCTTGCCATGCCAACTAATTTGGACCATTATTGTCATGTTTTCCTAGTGAAACTCTTGCCAATTCTCCCCGTGAACTAGCAAGCAGCGTGAACACAAGGAAACGACTAAGTGAACGAACGCAGAGATCACACGAGCACCCGTGCTTAGCCCGTAGTCTAGCTCCCGTTGCAGCAGTTATCTCCGCAGTGTAGACCCTAGTGAAGGGCAGTTTCGAGACCCTTCGTGGTTGGGGACAGTGTGGCACTGTTCCACATCACTGTACCTCGGCTCTTGGGGTTTGTAGGAGCTGGGAGTCATTCCCAACTCGTAACTCTTGCCAACTCTTCCAAATTTGTGTTCTAAGACTATAGTGGCTGCCATAGTGCCGTTCGTTCAAACCGACGCTGTGCCGTCGATTCTCAATGAAATTGTGCGATCTTAATTGCTTATTGTAGGCGACGTTAAGGCGCTCCAGATCCAAGTTGAATGAAGTCATTTGGAGTTGTGAGCAGATCGCTATAAACGTTTAAAGCCGCTGTACAGAAATCCGACTGTGCACTCTATCTTCCGTTTTAGGCACATTGGAGCCTATTGTGACTATAACAGCAATTCTTATCGTAGCAAAATTCGAAGCTTTTCACAAGGAGGCATACAAGGCGACAAGGTGCTCCACCGATGTACCTTACCTCTTTATTGCAGCTACAGGTAGATGTAAGAACTTAAGGTAGAATCCATACATTCAGCAATGAGCTCAAGGTTCTTAAGTACATTTGAGATGAGCAAAAGATGGATGTGCGTGGATCACGGACAATCCCCAATCAGATGAACAGAAATCTCCAATTGTTGGGCGGGAGGTTTTGGCTGATCACACATGAGTAAGGTTGGGATGTTTGGTGTAACACCCAACCCACAAATAAAAACTAAAAATGATTGTAGAAATATATGGTCGAGACTCAAGATTGAAGACCTACTTCAGTAGTAGGACGTATTTATGGTACCAAGGGCCGAAAATGGACTGCCAGGGCCAATCCACTTCGGCCCTAACATTACAGAGCCGGGCGGGTTCAAGTCAGGCTGTTTTCTATAGAAGTCAAATAAACAATCAATGTTTAGTTTCTGCGTGCTTCCCTGTAAGACATCATACCATAGTACAATACAACATTCTTTTACCATACCTCTCCACTATCAAGCTTGAAGCGTGTCACTCAGAGCTGAAACCTGTTGTGGTTCATACTTTTGAGAACGCCCATATCCACATGCAGGGAAATATCTTCGACAACAATCACATGCCCTCCTTCTTACAGTAGCTTTGTGGTCCCACAGACCACTTCGATGCTTTCTGCAGGCAGTGTGGCAATTTCTACGACACATGTGACAACAAATCAGGTGAAAGGCAATTTCCATAGGCAGGTTCCCAGGTGTTATTATCTATCTTCTCCTTCCCAAATCCATCTCCGTTCTCCACTACTGTACCCTTCCCATCACTGGTACCCACATTGTCCCACCTCATCATAGTGCCCTCTACTACCTGCAGAATTTCCAATCCACCTTCCAAATCTAATCATTGACATTCTCCATCGCTGGTGGCCCTTACTAAATTACCCGCCTCTCCCTCCCAGCAGAGTCAGGAGGAGGTTTATCCAATGGAGCCATTACTGGCATTTTTGTTGCTGGTGTCGTGGTTATCCTTGTGCTTCTGCCTTTGGGCCTACTTCTGTACAAGCGATACCGCACCGAAGGGACAGCAGAAGGAGGCAATACCAACACCGCTGTGGGTGGCAGAAGCTTTACAGAAGAAAGCGCGCCCCAAGGTAAGATATCTCCTCTTTACAGGCTTCTGTTAAAAAACCTCCGCTAACCTCCTCTTTACAGGCTTCTGTTAAAAAAACCTCCGCTAACCTCCTCTTTACAGGCTTCTCATTGACCTTTTTTTCTCGTCTTCACAACCTCACACAGAATCACAACCTGACTTTCCAAAAGCAGCGCCCAGAACAGAGAAGGAACCATAAGCAGATGCTGCTGCTGCAGCAGCAGCAGCGGTGGTTGTGGCAGCAGGGTCAGCAGCACGGGAGAAGCAGAGAGACGTGGTGGTGGAGATGGAGGCAGTGAAGCCATATGTGTGCCAGAAGTTCTCTCTGGAAGAGCTCGCAAGCGCAACGGGAGAGTGGGCAGAGGGGAACAGGATTGGCAGCGGCAGCTTTGGAGATGTGTACAAGGGCGTGTCACTGTATGACCCCAATGAGATGTGGGCTGTGAAGCGATCTAGAGTCCTCTCCAATGACTTCCTCACAGAGGTATCAGACATCGCTGATTGTGCTTCTGGCGTCACAGCATCAATCGCGCCGCAGTGCTATTTGAATGACTTTTGTCAGCAGATGCCCCATAACCTCCCTTCCCCTCCCCGTCCCCTCCCCCCCACACCGGACACACACACACACATACATACACAAACACACACACACACACACACACGCACACACACACACACACATGCACACACACATACACACTTGTTGATTTTACATACCACACATACAAAAACTTGCATTTACATAAACACGCATGCACACTCCATGTATTTTCGCTTCCCTCCTCTTCCGACCAAATATTTTCCATTTTTCAGGTGAAAGAGATGGCCAGCAAGCACCACCCCAACTTGGTGCGCCTGCTGGGATTCTGTGTGAACTTTGACCCGGCTACAACTCTCGTGGAGCAAGTACTCGTGTATGAGTTCATGGCCAACCGGGACTTAGAGAGCTGGATTGGACCAGGTACATTATGAGCTTCTCTCTACACCTGAATGCTCCTAATTGCGCCAACCAACTTCCTTTCACATGGAACCTTCAGTTTTTTATCAGAAGTAAGGGATTTTCTCTTTCCATCAATAATTCCCTTATGAAACCTCAAAGCCCTGACTTATAAGGAACCAACCCTCTTTGAACCTTACTGTTGACATTTTCTTGTAAAGATATTAAGTACAACAACATCTCTCTGTTTGGCATGGCTAAGTGGTTTTCGTTCTGTCCCTTTCTAGGTGCTCCAAGCCCCCTGTCCTTGTTCCAACGACTCAACATTCTGATTGGAGTAGCCAAGGGGTTGCAATATCTTCATGATTTTGGCATTGTGCATCGCGACATAAAGCCAGCCAACATTCTTCTTGACACAAAAATGCATGTATGTCTAGCTCTGATTTCTTCTTGCATTCTCTTTTACTAGCATGCGTTGATACGATGAAAGCAATCGGTGGTAGCCATTATCTTGATACTGCGTACATTCACTTGTGACTGTTGTTCAGGCCAAGATTGCAGACTTTAGGCTGCGGAAGCTCACAGGGGGAACTGCTATGGGCACGTCTTTGGCTGCCACTCGAGTGATGGGAACACCAGGCTATGTGGACCCAGCCTACTACAAGTCCCACAAGGCCACTCCAGCAGCAGACGTGTACAGGTGAGAGGGAAGAAATATCTCCTTGATAAGGAAACCACTTGAGTGATGAGACCATTGGATTATATGGACCCTGCCTTTTACAAGTCCCACAAGGCCTTTCCCGCAGCAGGTGTGAGCACGGACATGTATTTTCCTCTTTTTTTTTTTGTGATGCAGGTAGGGTACAGCATGCTCCATTGACATGCCTCACATCAATCTCCATTTTGGTCCCCTGTCCCTTTTGTTGGTTTGGTGTTGGCAGTTTCGGTGTGGTGATGCTGGTGGTCATCTCGGCACGCAAGGCCGTGCATGTGGGCGAGGCAAGCCAGATCAGCCTAAAGCAATGGGTGAGCCACATTTGCTTCATTTTAACTTGCTGTCTGAATAGAAATTTGTGTTTACTGTTCCAATTTCCCATGGAAGTGTACGGGCATGCATGTGTATATCCATGTGGCTGCGTTTCCTTTAACCCAACAGATTGCCCCATTCGTGGAGTCAGATGCCGTGGCGGTATTCAAGGACCCCTACCTGGACGCACCAGACGACTTGGCGCTGCGCTGGGCTCGCCTTGCCCTCTCCTGCACTGCCATGCCTGTGGCCTCCCACCCCTCCATGAATCAAGTGCTGGGAGAGCTGGTGAAGCTGAAGCAGGAAGCCTTCGGAGCACATGTGAGCGAGGCCATATCTCGCATCGACATGGAGATTGGGAGTTCCATTGGCTCCTCTGGCTTCACTGCTGAAATGGCCCGTGCAGAGCGCGAGGGCATGCAGAGTGACTCCGCGGCCAGCATGTCATAGACCTACAGCACACGCTGGTTGTGGAGACAACCTATAGGGTGCTTTTTTTTCAGACGTTGTACACCCTTTCTTAACACATCGTGCTGGTGTTGCATTGTCAGGTTGTCGTAAACAACAAATCGCGTGTGAAATGGATCGAAACATGAGTGTGCGAATAAGAGCTGCTTAAGTTTGAGTGTAAATTGGATGGGAACAGGAGTGAATGGAAGAATGGAAAGGGGTGACAGGTTGAGGAACAAAGGTACTATTAAGAGTGGGCAAAGGTGTCCGGCCTGGATGACCTTGTGCGAAGCATGAGGGCGGGCAGGGCATGAGCATGTCGTAGGGTTTCAAGCACCTTACGAGTTTCACTTATGAGCCAGATACAGATGGGGTACATTGCATCGTTAACACATGGGAGTGTGTGAAGTGATTAAGGGTTTGGTAGGGATACTGATTGCATTTTAGGGTTGATGCATATGTAAAATCAAATCTGGGGTGAAATTTACATTTGAAGCATCACCGAAGCATCGTTTGGTTCATGGGCTTGGCTTAGATCCATGTCATCTGTGTTCGCTTTATTTATGAATGGGATGTGGCATGAGATCTGGTTTTTATTATTCCTCTTCTGTTAGCACTCATAGGTTCAGAGGTTTTCCTTACCCTTGTTTAAAGTTGATTGTTTCAGACCTGGTATTCTAGGAAACCGTCACAAACCGTGTGAAGGCATTCATACCTAAAATCTGCCATCCCTCAGATAAGCCACTCTAGGGTCTTAATTCAGATCCACTAAAAACAATGGGTGTGTCTAACAGTAAAGCTACCAGGCTCCTCTGTATGACATACCGTAAGCCCCTCTGCCTGAAGAGCTTCACGATTTCCCCATGCAACGTGTCCACTCTGCCCGAAAGCTTTGGGAATCTTCCAGCCTTGAAAGCTCTGGTGCTGCACGAGCTGCCACCTCACCGTCTCCCTGCTTCCTTCACCAGACTCGCATCTACCTGCAGGGTTTGGCTGCCTCACAGCACTCGAGACTCTGAGCCTGGCATGGTCGCCCACCCTGGACCTCAGGAAACTTGGGCGGCCTCCTCACCAATCTCCAGGCCTTGCATCTCATAGAAAGCAGCCACAAGCAGCTGCCGTCCTTATTCGCGCAGCTGGCGTTGTTGACCAGGTTGGAGCTGGACCAGTGCTGGATCTGCCAGTGGGCATGGCGGAGATGACAAACGTGCAGGAGCTTTGCATTCAAAAGAGCCCTTTCTTCAAGAAGCTTCCGGAATCCGTGACGGCGCTCGTTAGCCTTCAATTGTTGAGGGTTCAAGAAAACCCTCATGTCTTGTCGGTACCCAGGACGCTGGGCAGCCTTTCCAGGCTCACGCACTTGGAGCTGAGGGGATGTCAGCTGAACGAAGCCCCTGAGGCTCTGCCACTCACTCTCCAGGCTCTACCCTACAAGAACATTCCGCCAGGGGCGCCTCTGCGAGACATTTCAGCATCCACAGAGCTCAGGGATTTGTGCTTGGACGATGTAGGTGCAGCATGTCTTGAGGCCGTAAGTGACCACCTCTCTGGTCTGCAGTACCTGGAGCTGGTGCTGGGAGAAGACGCCAAGAAGTCTCTGCCCCCGGTTACAAGGCTTCCCCACCTCTGCACCTTGACACTCAAGCACGTCTGCATTGTGAACAATCTGGTGGAATCTGAGGCATTGCTGGGGCTAGGCAGCTGAACATGGGCACTTGTTGCCTCACAGAGCTACCTGCGGCCACCAACACTCTCCACCACCTGACATCCATTCAGATCCGTGCTCAGAAATGGGGTAGCTGACGTAGAAACAAAACAGGTGGCTGCATTGAGGCTGTGTAAGTGGTTGAAACGTGATGCTGGACCGATGCTGGGAAACATGGGGAAACATGAAATATATGGTATGAGATTATGATGGATGAGGATTGAGGATGTCATACAAGGAGAGGTGATAGAGTAGAGGTAATGAGTGGCGGTGTCAGGGGGTTGGAATCAAGAGAGATTCTGGTATATGCACCCTTGAAAAGCAACAGTGTGCAAGGAAGGGGAGATAAGCAAATGGGGGGAAGAGGGGTTTGAGCGGAGAGCGGGGGAGGAAAGGGGGGGACACGGGGGAAGGGTTTGGGTGGGGAGAGGGCAAGAAGAAAGAGGAGGGGGAAGAAAGTCCGGGTGGGAGTTGCTTCCCTGGCATTGCTGTAAATAAATGAAGGGTAACCACGGCTAATGATACTGTACCCAATTTTTCTCTCTCTTTCTCTGAACCACCTTCCCATATTGTCGCTCTGATTTTATCACCCCTGCTTTCCTCCCCATTGTGCAGCATTGCCAGCATGCTGTGCCCTTTCAGCTGAAGCCACCTCACTTGGTTGCAGTCTTGCGAGGGGGAAGAACATTCAGGCCTTGCCATATGCACATGCTCAAAGCTACGGATACGTGACAATCATGATTCTGTCATGTGCAATTTCTTGCATGGTCAAGCGCGTCCATGCATGCACCACAGCATACATAAACACCATCTAGCATACATGAGTGGCGGTGCATCAAACGACTGTGCCCTGACCCCTTACATCTGGTTAGTATTCGGGTGAGGGGAAAACGAACAAAAAACAGTTCCACATATGACAGCATAGCATCTTCTCTGCAATGTCCAAACCATCCTTCCAATCCCCAATGCCCTCTTTGCAATCTTGATTCATGCAGCCCTCCTTCTCTTCTTCACCCCTCTATACTCGCTCCTTTCCCACCAGAATCCGTCTAAACTTCATGGGTCTCATGGGCTGGAGAGCCTGAATACGCTACAGTTATGAAAACAGTTAAAATCACTCTAATACCCCCATTCCTCTTATCTCCCACCCTCCTCTCATCTTCCCCCCTCCTCTTTTATCCCTCACGACTCTCATAACCCCTACTCCTCTCTTCTCCTCTCTTAGCCCCCACTTACCTCATGCCCCCAGCCCCTCTCATACCCTCCCCACCCCACCCATCACTCTCCCAATTCACTCTCCCATCCCTTCTCTAATGCCTCCCTCTCTTCTCATACTCCCCACTCCTCTCATGCCCTCATAACCCCCAATCCTCTCATATCCCCTATTTTATAAATGCCCACCACTCCCCTCACAACCCCCATTCCCCTCACACGCCCTAATCCCCTCATACCCCCCACTCCTGTCATACCACCCACTCCGCTCGTATCCCCACTCCACTCGTATCCCCACTCCACTCGTACCCCCCCATTCCTGTCATTTCCACCAAAGCATTCATGGTCCCGCTCTTGTCACTCCTGGTTTTGCCGTTCACCATCAGCTTCAAGCCTCTCCTCCACAATGCCCTCCAACTCCCATTGTTTCGTCTGCTCCTTCCCTGTGCTTCTGCATTTTCCATCCCACCCATGCCTTTTCATCTCACCCGTGCCTTCTCATCCCACCCATGCCTTCTCATCCCACCCATGCCTTCTCATCCCACCCATGCCTTCTCATCCCACCCATGCCTTTTCACCCCACCCATGCCGTCTCATCCCAACCATGCCTTTTCATTCCACCCGTTTCTTTTTCATCCCACCCATTCTATTTTCATCCCACCTATGCCTTTTTCATCCCACCCATTCTATTTTCATCCCACCAATGCCTTTTTCATCCCACCCATGCCTTTTTATCCCAATCATGCCTTTTCATCCCACCCATGCCTTTTCATCCCATCCATGCCCTTTCCACCCACCCATACCCTTTCAACCCACCCATGCCCTTTCATCCCACCCATGCCCTTTCATTCCACCCATGCCCTTTCATCCCAACCATGCCATTTCAACCCACCTAGGCAGGCCTCTGCGTTGTCAGGCCAACTCTACTTATACCGTGCTGTGGTGTGATTGTGCCATTTTACCCATATCAATTGACAGTGGAGGCTAATGAACATGCATGCAAGTACCGTTTTGACTTATTTATATATGCTTGGCGCAAAAGTTGGTGCTGTGCCGGTGGGACACGTGGGCCAAACATAGCTCCTTGGGACAGGAGATGGAACCAAGACACACATTGAGTTCGTAGTGGAACTGACAACCAGCAGGTGCTACTTGAAAGGAAATGTGTCATGAGAAATGGTGACATGCGGTAGCATCCTTGGGCAAGAACGAAGGGAACGTGCCGGCCGCCACTCTTGAGAGACACTCTTGCGCAGCAGTAGACTACTGCTCAGCTCAGCAGGATCCACTCGACTCGAGCACGTATCGGCGTCTGCCAAGTGGCGAGGTCTCGTCGAGTGACGGCAGCTCCTTGCTGCTGCGAAGGGCGAGGATGATGATGAAGAGCAGAGCACAGTGCCGGAGAAGCTACCTTATGCTGTGGCCGAGAAAGAGGCGGTGTGATGCGACAAGTGAACTTGGCCCTGTGGCTGCAGAATATGGGCTGTTGGAGCAACGTGGAGAGTAGGGTTGCGGCGGGTGGGGAGCTTGGGTATGTTGCTTAGTCACAAAGATGATTTCAGTAGGGCAGCTTCTGACAAGAAAAGGTGTCAAGGGATTTTGATGACAAGGAATATTGGGATGCGAGGGATGGGCGTCGCCCTATGCGCTGCCACGTATGTCTTGATGCACAGGGGAAGATGCAATCTGGAGCACCCCACCATGATGCGCTGGCACATGTGGAAGAATGAACGGGAGTGGGGCGAGTGAGGGGGGGATAAAGGGGAGGGGAAGCAACGAACATGCGCATCCAAGGGAGGGTGGAGAGAGCTGCAGTGCACAGCACACCATAGCATGCCAGAGGTGGAAAGGTGTGGGGCTTTGGATGGTGGAATGGTGGGTAGGGAAGGAGGAAGAAACAACGAGGAGAGCAATGACAGGGGGAAAGCTAGGAGGGGAGAGGCTCATGTTGTGGTGCCCGGCCATGGTGGGCGGGAGAGCTGGAAAGGTGTGGGTTGGTGGGAGGGGTGGGTTGATGCAGGGGAGGGAGGGCGGAACGAGTATGGGCAAGGCCGGGAGAAAGGAGCTGCAGGCTGCAGTGAAA